TTCTGTGGCCAACTTCCCCATATTAGTTAATGACTATTGTCCTTTTATAGTTGCCCTAGCCCAAATCCTTAGTTTCCTTCTGAACTTTTCCTTCCCTCACACCCACATCCATTTCAGAATATTTTCTTGGTTATAACTAATATTCCCAGAATCTTACCACCTTCACTGCCACCATCGTCTCTCCCCTTAATTTTTGCAGTAGCCTCATAACTAGGCTTCCTCCTCCTGCCCTTGCTCTCCTACAGGGTGTGCCTATAAATCAGATTATGTCACTTATCTGCTCTGAAGGATCCTTGTCTTACTAAGGGTAAAGGCTTCATGCTTTCTGCTCTCACGCTGCTCCCCCACCCCCAAATGTATCTCTGATCTTCTCTTGTGGTCTCCTTATCACAGTTCTCTTCAGCCACACAGATCTTGCTGCTCCTCAGACATACCTGGCAGTCTTCTGCTTAGGATCTTTGTGTTCTGTTCCTTCAACCGTGAATCCTCTTCCAAAGAACACTTGTTGTTTTCCAGGTGTTTAATCAACTGAAGCCTCTTAATAGAGCTTTCCCTAATTTTGTTGTTGTTCAGTTGCTCAGTTGTGTCCAGCTCTTTGTGACCTCATGAACTACAGCACACCAGGCTTCCCTGTCCTTCACCATCTTCTGGAGTTGCTCAAACTGATGTCCATTGAGTCAATGATGCCATCCAACCATCTCATCCTTTCTTGTCCCCTTCTCCTCCTGCCTTCAATTTTTCCTAGCATCAGGGTCTTTTCCAGTGAGTCAGTTCTTCGCATCAGGTGGCCAAAGTATTAGAGCTTCAGCTTCAGCATCAGTCCTTCCAGTGAATATTCAGGGTTGATTTCCTTTAGGATTGACTGATTTGATCTCCTTGCAGTCCTCAGGACTCTCAAGAGTCTTCTCCAACACCACAGTTTGAAAGCGTTAATTCTTTGGTGCTCATCCTTCTATATGGTCCAACTCTCACATCTGTACATGACTACTGGAAATACCATAGCTTTGACTGTTTAGACCTTTGTTATCAAAGTGATGTCTCTGCTTTTTAATACATTGTTTAGTTTGTCATAGTTTTTCTTCCAAGGAGCAAGGGCGTTTTAATTTCATGGCTGCAGTCACCATCTGCAGTGAATTTGGAGCCAAGAAAATAAAAGTCTGCCACTGTTTTCCCATCTATTTGCCATGAAGTGATGGGACCGGCTGCCATGATCTTTGTTTTTTGAAGGTTGAGTTTTAAACCAGCTTTTTCACTCTCCTCTTTCACCTTCATCAAAAGACTCTTTAGTTCCTCTTTGCTTTCCACCATTAGGGTGGTGTTATCTGCATATCTGAGGTTATTGATATTTCTCCCAGCAATCTTGATTCCAGCTTGAGCTTCACCCAGCCGGGCATTTTGCATGATGTACTCTGCATATAAGTTAAATAAGCAGGATGACAACGTACAGCCTTGATGTACTCCTTTCACAATTTTGAACGAGTCAGTTGTTCCATGTCCAGTTCCAACTTTTGCTTCTCAGGAGGTAAATAAGGTGATCTGGTATTCCTGTCTCTAGAATTTTCACCAGTTTGTCAACACAGTCAAAGACTTTAGCGTAGTTAGTGAAGCAGAAGTGTATGTTTTTCTGGAATTCCCTTACTTTTTCAGTGATCCAGTGGATGTTGGCAATTGGATTTCTAGTTCCTCTGCCTTTTCTAAATCTGAAAGTTCTTGGTTCATGTACTATTGAAGTCTCACTTGGAGGAATTTGAGCATGACCTTGCTAGCCTGCAAAATGAGTCTGTTGTGTGGTAGTGTGAACATTCTTTGGCATAGCCCTTCTTTGGGATTGGAATGAAAACTGACCTTTTTCAGTCTTGTGGCCACTACAAGTTTTCCATACTTGCTGGCATATTGAGTGCAACACTTTAACAACATCATCTTTTAGTATTTGAAATAGTTCAGCTGGAATTCTGTCATCTCCACTAGCTTTGTTCATAGTGATGCTTCCTAAGGCCGACTTGACTTCACAATAAGGAGTTCATGATCTGAGCTACAGTCAGCTCCCAGTCTTGTTTTTGCTGACTGTATAGAGCTTCTCAATCTTTGGCTGCAAAGAATATAATCAATCTGACTTCAGTGTTGACTATCTAGTGATGTCCATGTGTAGAGTCGTCTCTTGTGTTGTTGGAAGAGGGTGTTTGTTATGACCAGTGCATTCTCTTGGCAAAACTGTTGGCTAACATTTGCCTTGCTTCATTTTGTACTCCCAGGCCAAACTTGCCTGTTGCTTCAGGTGTTTCTTGACTTCCTACTTTTTTGCATTCCACTCCCCTATGATGAAAAGGACATCTATTTTGGATGTTAGTTCTTGAAGGTCTTATAGGTCTTTGTAGAACCATTCAACTTCAGCTTTTTTGGCTTTTGTGGTTGGGGAATAGACTTAGATTACTGTGATATTGCATGGTTTGCCTTGGAAATGAACCAAGATCATTCTGTTGTTTTTGAGATTGCACCCAAGTACTGGATTTCAGAGTCTTTCGTTAACTATGAGGGCTACTCCATTTCTTCTAAGAGATTCTTGCCTACAGTAGTAGATATAATGGTCATCTGAATTAAATTTGCCCATTCCTATCCATTTTAGTTCACTTTTTTGTAATTGCCCTATTTAAAATTATATGCCTTCCCAGCACTCTAGTCACCTTTCTTTATTTTTCTCATAATCATACAGTTAGCTTCTGTTACCATGTGCTATTTTAAGCACTTTACAAATGCTAACGCATTTAATCCTTGCCACCCAATGTGTTATTTCTGTTAACCCCGTTTTACTGATAAAACCAGGGCACAGGATGGCTGATTTGGAATTGAAATACAGTCTGATTATGAATCTTTGCTTTACTGCTCGCTGTACTCGGCTGTCTTTGCATATGTAGCACTTGTCAACCTCTGTAATATTATATAACTTTATTTTGTTTACTGCAGGTTGCTACCTCCCACCTCCACCCCCATCTAAATGTTATCTCCAGAAAGACGGATTTTTTTTTAATCTGTTTTTTTGTTTTGGTTGTTTTTTTTTTTTTTTTAACTGCAGTACCCCTAGCATCTATAACAATATCTAGTTTGTAGGTTCAGTGAGTATCTATTGAAGAAAAAAGATCTTTGAAAAGATACTATGCCCTATTTTAAAGTTGTAAAGTTGAGTTCACCAGTAAGCTCTTTTAAACTTTGATAATTGGTACAATTCTAGAGCAGTGTAAAATGTCAGAAATACCCAATTCGTTCTATAACAGGCCACAAGACATTTATGTGACCTTGAGCAACTGAACAGCAGCAAATACACCTACTATAGAATAATCTACCAAAAGAGTTTATCTGAAAACTGCAAGGAGATTACATATATAAAAATCAGTCAATACTGTATTCCCTGTTACCTTTTACCCATTTTTCTATTGAAACAGTGGTCTTTTTCTTATGGATTTGGAAAAGCTCTTTCTATATTAACGAGATTAATCCTTTTAAAGTGAGTTGCAGATGTTTTCCCCGGTTCATCTTCTGGCTTTTGCTTTAGTTTATGCTGTATTTTACAATTCACAAGCCTTTGGTTTTTGTAATGGGTTTGTTAATCTTAATTACAATCGTTAGGAAGATCTTCTAGATTAGAGAAGTTACCCTTATTTTCTTATATTTTCTTTGAGCACCGTTGCTGTTTTATTTTTTACATTTAAATTGATTATATTAGAAATTCATCCTAGATTTTGGTGTGAAGTATGGAGTTTTCTAGATAAATGTCAGTTTTTCCTGCCAATCCCAACCATCATCCTTACCTTATCATATATCCTTAAGCCTCATCTATTTCAGGGTCTAATTCTGAACTCTTCATTTTCTTCCATTGGTTTTTCTGCCTCCTTTTATGCGAAGGCATATATTTTAAATTACTGAGGCTTTAAAGTATGCTTTAGTATCTCATAAGTCTAGTTTCCCCTCTTTACTCTTTTTAAAAAACTTTTTAGCTTTATTTTTATTTATTTTTTGACCACATCACATTGCATGTGGGATCTTAGTTCATCAGCCAGGGATTGATCCTGTGTCCCCAGCAATGGAAGTGCATTATTCAGGAATTCTTAACCACGGAACGCCAAGCAAGTCCCCCTGCTCTTCTTTTTCAGAATTTTCCTGGCTAATGTGTCTTATCCAAATGCACTTTATAATTTCTTTGAATTGCAGGAGGAAAAAAAATCTGTGGCCATTTATGTTAAGGTTGATTTAAATTTTAATAAATTAGTATAATGACATCTTAAGAATGGGTTTCTCTCTAAGAACATAGTATGTCTTTCTGTTTGTTCAAGTCTTCATGTTTATCATTCAAAAGTGTTTTTTTAGTTGTTTTGGTGTTTTTTCCCTTCTTATTAAGTTTACTCCTAGGAGTTTTATCTCTCTTGTTGTTTTACAACACTGTTTATGATTTTACTTCTCATGTAGCTCTGCCTTTATAGAAAGGACAGTATTAATCATGCAGGAGTAGTGAATGTCAGTTTAATTCTCACCGTAAATTAGCACATTGACCTTCTGGTTTTATGCATCATTCTGTACAATCTACAAACATGATTCACAGCGAGAGATGAATCCAGCCTTCACATACCTGTAAGTCAGGTTTTATGGCCTGTGAGGCTGAGAGCCAGATCTAGATCGTGTCACATCTGCCCTTGTAAACCCTAGGTGTGCTGCTCAGTGGAGTGGCCTCTTAAACAGCCAGGTCACCTCTCCCTGTAACACTGCACCCATGTGTGTGCCGTTACTTTAAAAATCGTAGTTCGCTTAATAAATGTCACCATTTTAAGAAAGCCTATTATGCATGTTAGTTATACTTGAATGACAGCCTCTTCAGCCGTTACTGATGTTTCTGCATCTACTTATGAGTAAAAGAACCTGATCTATACACTAGTGATATGCTTTGGAAAATTACTGAGTAACTGTCATTGGTCAAATCTTTAATGAAAGTTTTAAATTCTTGTATATTACAGAATTTCACAAACTTATTTGGACAGCCACTAGTCTGCTTGCTTTCTCCTACAGCCTATCCAAAAGCTTTACAAGGTATGTACTTTGATTCCCTGTTATATCCATAGGTTGCAAATCAACTTACATCTTCATTTTGAATAATACTGATCTGATCTTTGTCTCCCCCATCTATAATGGTCAGTTGTTGGTTTATAGTGTTTAATGTGGCAAGTATCAGTCTGAAATAAACCCAAAAGTCTTGCCAACAATCAGACTTCCTGAATGGGCTACAGTTAGGCCTTGAGATAGGTCTAAAAGAACTGGTAAAACGTCCTTGAGAAGAGAGTGGTTTTGGTTCGCTTGCTATTGGGGAACTTAAGATTTGTGAATATTAAAATCTCTTTTGTAGGTGTGCTTGTCTTCATCCACATAGTACGATTTCTTCGATGTCTGGCTATGTATTTTAAGTATCTTTTAAGACCATGAGAAATCTGGTCTAGGACACTTTTTAATCCATGCCCTAGGATTAGGATAACCTAGCTGGCACAACTTAAAGGGTTTCTTTTATTCACATTTTTACATCACTGTATTTTTAACATAGAAAAACCTCTTCTCAACGTGCCAGAGAGACAGGTCAGTGTTTTGACGTTTCTCAAGTGGCTGAGAAATGAAAATTTTTTTGTCTCGAATAATTTGTCCTCAGTAAGCAACACATAAAATCTAATTCTAACGCCTAGTTGTTAAGCTAGGTAAGATACTAAACAAGCCTTACTCCTGTTTTAGCAGTGCTTGTCACTGTTTCACTATCTTCCTAACCGTGAACAGTGCTGGTGTCTCTCTGTGGGGGATGGCATTTTACTGCTACTTCCCAGCCAGAAGTCCTGTCTGCTGATGTAGTTTGACACAGGAGGTGATGGTCAGCATTTGAATGCCCGAGAGAAGCTGGAGACTTTTCACCGTTGTTTTAAGGTAAGTTCTGCTATTTAACAGGGAAAAACATGTAGAAATACTAAGTTCATGTATCTAGAAGACAAATTACTGAGGGATAGAACTTACCTTCAAACAACGGTAAAACTCTCCCGCTTTGAGGACTTGGTTAACCTGTTTCTTACCATTTCTGAAGAAATGTAACCCCTTCCAATGGCGAGTACTTTTTGCTGTCGGGTTTTTCCTGTCACGAAACAGCTTTATTTTAAATTGCATGAACAAATGGGTTACTACCCTGATTATTTAATCAGAAAGGTTTTATTGTGAAGAGGGTAAAAACACAGATTCTAGAGGCAAATTGATCGTATTTGAGTCCCAACTCTGCCCCCTACGAGCTGTGTGACCTTGGGAAGTTCCTCAACCATTCTGTGCCTCATTTCTTTCCTAATAAATGGAGATAATAATAGTATCTACCTCCTTAAAGAATTCTGAGTACACAGCAAGTATTCAATATGTGTTAACTATCATCATTATTATAATGTGCTTAATTTAAATATATGTCCTTAATGTGTCTTAGTCCAGAATCCTATCTTTTGGGCTATAAAACTTAGACCTCTAGTCCCTAAAATGTGTCCCACCTGGACACAAAGCTGGCCAGTACCAAAGTGTTTGGAATGTCAAATTAGATTCCTGCACCTCTGTTATCTAAAGTCTACAGTTCTCTCTTTAACCAAGAGTTACTTCATTCATTCAACAAACATTTGTTTAACATTTTATCAGGTACTGTGCTAGGTAGAAAATACAGATAACCTAACAGACAATTGCTGCGGTTGCTCTTAGTGTTTGCTTGGATGAAGCACATGTACAGTAAGATGAATGCCTAACCAGCCCTTGAGTGTTAAGAAAGTGGATGAAATGATGTCTCAAGTGGAGTTGAAGGATGCATAAAATTAAACAGGTAGATAGGAGTGAAATATGGTTGAATAAGAGTGTTCTAGCAGCAGCAGCAGCAACAAAGAAATAGCATGTGAACATGTGAAAAATGAATTGGAGAGGAGATCTGATGAAAATGGGGAGATGATGGTGGCCAGAGTAAAGACAATGACTTGTTAGCTGGCTCAAGAAGACAGTCGTTCCAGAGAACCAAGAGGATTTGGTAATGGACAGGATGAGGGAATCAAGGAGAGGAGGGAAGCATGGACTTCCAGGTGTCTGGTTTAGGTGCTAGTAGAAATGATGATCCTGGATAAGATTTGTAAGAGAACAAATAAGGGGAAAGAATTTGCTTCTGAGTCTTAAGTTTAACATGTTGAGTTGGAGGTTACCTTTGAGAGTTAGGTTAAATGTCATAGTCGGGAGCTACTGTGTCCAGTAGAAATATAATAGGAATCATGCGTATGATTCTAAGTTTTCTAGTAGCTACTAGAAATACCATTTTTAAAAGTCTTTAGAGTCAAACAGGTGAAATTAAGGTTAGCGATACATCTTTTCGTACTGAGTCTTTGAAATCCCATGTATGTTTTACACTCCACAGTGTGTCTCAGTTTGGACACTCTTTTGAAGTGCCTGGTGGCTGCCATAGAACAGTGCCATTTTGGAGCTAAGGGGCTCAGTTAGGCTGCAGCTAGAGAACTCTGAATTAGGAGGCACATAAGTGATAGCCAAAATTATGTGCATAGGGGATATCAACAGTGTGTAGAGAGAGAATACTGATGTTTATGGGACAGGTAAAGAAAGAGCAACTAACAAAGGAGAATGAAGCTAACTTGCAGCTCTAGTGCTCCTCAGAGGGTTCCATCGGGAGCTGCCCATGATCCAGCACTAGCCATATTTGCATGGAAGTTGTTAGCTGGAGGGGAAAAAGCAAAGGAATATGTTCGTTTTCCATTTCTCTTAAGTTGATGAGGCTCTATCTTAAGTTTGTTCAGCAGAAACCAACATACCTGGGCTTTACTTTTGTAGTTCTAGGCCAAATCTACTTGGCTGAATTATAATTTAATGATATGCATATATATATATAATGAATGATATATATAACATTATTAATGTTAACATTATAATTATCATTAATTTTATACATATATATTAAGATGTTCCTCAAATGCCTCTCTTTTGTGAAACTGTTTTCTATATATTTAACATGTTTGTTATTACAGATCAATCTCAACGAGGTAGCCTGTTCACTCTCTTTTTGAACAATCCTCTAATGGCCTTCCTATTTGTCTCTGGACTGTCAAGCATGCGTAGAGGCCTATGGGAAAAGTGTCAAGAATATCTTCGAAAAATCAACCGCGACATTGCCCAGCTACTGACCCATTCACGTTCAATAGGTACCCTACTACTCTAACTGCACACTTAACAAAATGTACTATCCTGGTTTAAAATTGTTGAAATTGTTTGATGTAATGGTATTTGTTGAAGGTAGGAAAGTTGAGAAGGTTTTCCTGAACATTTATTCCCTTTTGAAATGTATTTTCCACTTAAGTATCCTTTTACCATCACTTTTCTCCTCTTTACAGATCAGGCATTTCTCCAGTTTTTTGGAGATGAATTTCTTCGCTTGCTTCTCACAAGATTTATCTTTTGTTCAGCCACCATGAGGATGCACAAGATTTTTCGGGTAGGCAAACAATATCATTAAAGATTAATCCTGCCATTTTAGGTATTTAAGAATCATGTTTTACCTGTATTAACTTTGAATAGATCCAAAATAATATTCATACATTAATATGTAAGGTTTGAAGATGAACAATATCAGGCACATCTGAGTATCTACCACTCAGTTTAAGAAGTAGAAAGTTTTCATTACTTTTGAGGCCCCTCAAGGGGCCTTCCTGATCTTATCTCCTTCTCAAATGAAACTAAAACCCTGAATTTTGTAATTGTCATTATAGTTTTGTCACATGTCACTCATTATCTTCTGATAATGGCCCTTTGGGTTGTGTCTGGTTTGTTATTGTTAACAATGACGCCACTGTGAAATCTTTCATCAGTTACTTGGCACACATACAGAGTTTCTCTGGGGAACGTACCTAGTAGTGGATTACAGGGTCAGACAGTACAGGTGTATTCAGCCTTACTAGTTAACGGCCTGGCTGTACCAGTCTACCCTTGCACTACCCATGTGTAAGAGTTGCTATTTCCAGTAGTCAAGTATGGATGTGAGAGTTGGGCCATACAGAAGGCTGAGCCCTGAAGAATCGATGCTTTCGAACTGTGGTGCTGGAGAAGACTTTGAGAGTCCCTTGAACTGCAGGGAGATCCTACCAGTCAATCCTAAAGGAAATCAACCCTGAATATTCATTCAAAGGACTAATGCTGAAGCTTAAGCTCCAAAACTGGCCACCTGATATGAAGAGCTAACTCATTGGAAAAGACCTTGATGCTGGGAAACATTGAAGGCAGAAGGAGAAGGGGATAACAGAGGAAGAGATGGTTGAATGGCATCACCAACTCATTGGACATGAATTTGCGCAAGCTCCAGGAGATGGTGAAGGACAGGGAAGCCTGCTGTTCTGCAATCCATGGGGTTGCAAAGAGTCAGACACGACTGAGCGACTAAACAACAACAATCCTTGCCAACACCTGTTGCTGTTATTCCTCATGTTTCATGTGAATCTGGTGGGTGTTAAGTAGTAGGTCCTTGTGGTTCCAGGTGTCATTTCTGGGATGACTGTTGAAATCGAACAACTTTTCATATGTGTTCTTTATGAAGAGTATGTTCAAGACTTTGGTCTGTTTTGCTCTAAGTAGTTTGGTTTCTGTGTAGTCATGTAACTATTAACGTCTAACATTTATCAGCCTCTTTTTTTCATTCATCAGTTCACCTCAGTTTTTGATGCATTTTGAAGTAGACTGTGGTCTTTACCCAACACTTCATCATGCAAATAAATAACTGGATTTTATAGTTATGTATTTATTTTTTTGCTTCTTTTTTTAATGTAAACTTTACATATAATGAAATACACAGAATTAAAGTGTACCATTAGGTGAGTTTTAACAAATACATATATCTTGGGACTTCAATAAAAGTAAATCATTTTTTAAAAATACATACACCTTTGTAACTCAAACCTCAGTCAAGTTTTACAACATAGCATCATTCCAGAAAACTTCCTCCATATCCCTTTCTAGTTAGCCTGCTACCCATTATCCCACAGGCAATACTGTTATTATTTTCATTTCAAATTAGTGTCAGCTATTTACACAGTGTACTTGAATTACACTGTGTAAACCTTCTTTGATCAAGTGTATTCTTAAGATTCATCTGTGTTGTTTCATGCAGAAATAACTCATTCTTTTGAGTAGATCCATTTTCTGAATATGTCACAGTTTATTTAAGCCTTCTCTTTTTGATGAATACTTGGGCAGATTTAAACTTTTGACTTTTATAGATAAAGTGGCCATGAACATTCCCATACAAATCTTTTTTCCAAAGACTTCTGTTTTGAATTTTCTTGGCCATAGGATATATGTGTCTTTAGTTTTATAAGAAACTGCCAGACCTTTTCCTCAAACTAGCTGTACCATTTTCTTTTCCCAGCAACTGCATATGAAAGTTGCTTTGCACCGTTGCCAACACATGATGTTGTCAGTCTTAAATTTTTTTTTTAGTCTTAAATTTTTTAAACATTTATTTATTTTTAATTGAAGGATGGTTGCTCTCCAGTATTGTGTTGGTTTCTACCAAACATCAACATGAATCAGCAGTAGGTTTACTCATGTCCCCTCCTACTTGAACATCCCTCCCAATCCCACTCCTCTAGGTTGTTACCCAGCCGGGTTTGAAAACCCTGTCATACAGCAAATTCCCATTGGCTATCTGTTTTACATATGGTAATGTATGTTTCCGTGTTACTCTCTATACATCCCCACCCAGAATTGTCCATAAATCTGTTCTCTATGTCTGTGTCTCCTTTCAGTTCAGTTCAGTCGCTCAGTCGTGTCCAACTCTTTGCAACCCCATGAACCATAGCATGCCAGGCCTCCCTGTCCGTCACCAACTCCTGGAGTCCACCCAAACCCATGTCCATTGAGTTGGTGATGCCATCCAACCATCTCATCCTGTGTCATCCCCTTCTCCTCCTGCCTTCAATCTTTCCCAGAATCAGGGTCTTTTCCAGTGTGTCAGTTCTTCGCATCAGGTGGCCAAAGTATTGGAGCTTCAGCTTCAGCATCAGTCCTTCCAATGAATATTCAGGACTGATCTCCTTCAGGATGGACTGGTTGGATCTCCTTGCTGTTCAAGGGACTCTCAAGAGTCTTCTCCAACACTACAGTTCAAAAGCATCAGTTCTTCGGCACTCAGCCCAGCGTTTCTCATGATGTACTCTGCATAGAAGTTAAATAAGCAGGGTGTCTCCTTTGCTCCTCTGCAAATAGGTTCATCAGTACCATCTTTCTAGATTCCATATATATGCATTAGTATATGATATTTGTTTTTCTCTTTCTGGTCAGTCTTAAATGTTAACCAGTTTGGTGCATCTATAGTGGTATCTCAGTGTAGTTTAAACTTGCATCTCACTGATGAATGAGGCTATTGGACATCTTTTCAGGTGCTTATTAGTTATATTTTATCCTATTCTGTGGCTTGCCTTTTTGTTTTCTTAACAGTGGCTTTTGAAGACCAAACTTTTAAAATTCTGATGAAATTTGAACTGATCTTTTTTTTTTTCCTTTCGTGGTGTGTTTTATCTGAGAAGTCTCTGCCTAGCTCCAAGTCACAAAGATTTTTCTCCTATGGTTTCTAGGAGTTTTATAGTCTTAGCTTTTATATTTAGTTCTGAGTTAGCTTTTGTTTACAATGTGAAGTAAGGGTTAAAATTTTTTTCCCGTATGTATGTGGAGTTGTTCTAGTGTCCCTTGTTGAAAAGATTATCCATTTTTCATTGAGATAATTTTGTTGTTTTTTGAAAATCATTCAACCATGTATGTATAGTCTTATTTCTAGATTCTAAATTCTGTTCCATTGACCACTAGCATTTTTTCCTCCAGTATACTACTTCCTTGATAAATTGCAGCTTTACAGTAAGTGCTGAAATCCTTATAATGTAAGTCCCTCCTACCATCAAAATGCCTTAAGTATTTTAATAGCTCTAGATCCTTTGCATATCTATGTGAATTTTAGCATCAACTTTACATTTTGATTGAGATTGCATTTAATCTGTGTAATCAATCTGTGGAGAGTTGTATTTAATATTAAGTCTTCCAGTTAATTAATATGATATATCTCCCTATTTATTTAGGTCTTCTTTAAGTTTCTCAGCAGTATTTTGTGGGTCTTATCATATAGGTCTTATATGTGTTTCATTAAATTTTATTCTGAAGTATTTTAAGTTTTGGGATGATTTGTACGTAGAATTATATATTTTATTTCACTTTCCAATTTTTGTTGCTAAGACATAGATATACTGATGTCTTGTAAATTAACCTTGTATCCTGCATCTTGCTAAATTGAAGTATTAATATATTGCTTAAGATTTTTCTAGGTACATGATCATGTCATCTTCAGACAAAAGCAGTTTTACTTCTTCCTTTCCAATCTGTTTGTGTTTTATTTTATGTATATGTGTGCTTTATTTATTTCAATGTTACAGCAAAATGGTTAATAGAAGTAATGAAAAGGATTAGCTTTGCATTGTTCTTGATTTTAAGGGAGGATTAATCATTTACCATAAATTATAATGTTAATTGTTAGTTTCTCATAGATATCCTTTTTCAGATTGACTGTTGTTGTTTAGTGGTGAAGTTATGTCTGACTTTTTGCAACCCCATGGACTGCAGCATGCTCGGCTTCCCTGTCCTGTACTGTCTCGCACAGTTTGCTCAAACTCATGTCCATTGAGTTGGTGATGCCATCCAATCTCAGTCTTCCCATTTTCCTCCTGCCCTCAATCTTTCCCAGCATCAGGGTCTTTTCCAGTCAGTCAGCTCTTTGAATCAGGTGGCCACAGTATTGGAGCTTCAGCTTCAGGATCAGTCCTTTGAATGAATATTCGGGGTTGATTTCCTTTAGTAATGACAGGTTTGATCTCTTTGCTGTCCAAGGGACTCTCAAGAGTCTTGTCCAGCACAATTCAAAAGCATCATTTCTTCAACGCTCAGCCTTCTTATAGCTTCAGCTCTCACATCCATACACGACTACTGGGAAAACCATAGTTTTGACCATATGGACCTTTGTTTGCAAAGTGATGTCTCTGCTTTTTAATATACTGTCTAGGTTTGTCATAGCTTTTCTTAAAAGAACAAGCATCTTTTAATTTCATGGCTTCAGTCACCATCTGCAGTGATTTTGGAGCCTGAGAAAATCTGTCACTCTTTCCACTTCTGTTACTATTGCTGAGAGTTTTTTTGTTTTTTTTTACCAGGAATGGGTATGAAAGGTTGTCAGATACTTTTTTCTGCATTACTCTGATATACATTAATTCTTTTAACATAGTGAATAGCATTGATTGATTTTCTAACAGTAATCAACATTGTATATCTGAGCTAAACATATTTTGTGGTCATGTATTATCCTTTTGCATTGCTAGATTCAGTTCGGTAATACTTCATTGTGGATTTTTGTGTCTGTTTTTATGAATAATTATGGTATTTAATTTTCTTTTCCTGTGATGTCTTAATGCGATTTTGTTATCAAGGTGGTGCTGACTTCATAAATTAGGTTGGAATATATTTCATTCTCTTGTCTTTCTTAAAGAGTTTGTGACTGACATTATTTCTTCCTGAACGATTGATAGAATTCATCAGTAAAACCATCTGGGTCTGGAGTTTTCTTTTGGGGGATGTTTTAAATTATGAATTCAATTTCAAAGACTATTCATGTTTTCTCTTTTCTTCATAGTCAATTTTAATCTCTTGTGTCTTGCAAGTCATTTGTCTAGTTTATTGCCAAAAAATTTTTGGTAATATTTTATTATCCTTTTAGTTTCTGTAGATTCTGTAGTGATCTTTCATGCCTTATATTGGTAATGTTTCTTAAGTTTCTTTTTTCTTTTTCAGTCTAACTAAAGGATTTTTAATTTTAATGATCCTTGCAAATAAAGAGCTTTTGCTTTCATTGATTTTTTTTTTTACTACTGTTTGTCTCTTTTCTATTTATTTCTATTAATACTTTGTAAGTTTTCTTCTTTTTGATTACTTCGATTTTATTTTGCTCTTTTAATTTCTGTGTTTTGAAACTTAGATCCAAAACCTTTTTTCTCTTCTAAGGCAAGCACCTACTGTTTTGTTTTGTTTTTTTTTTTTTTCTGCATGGCATGTGCAATCTTAGTTCCCTGACCAGGTATGAAACCCATGGCCCCTGCATTGGAAGCAGAGTCTTAACCAGTGGACTGCCAGTGAAGTCCCCAGTTACCTCCCTAGGGACACTTGAAATGAATATATATGCTGCTACTATTGTATGAGGAGTTCTATAAATACCTATTAAATCACATTGGTTTATGTTATTCGAGTTATTTATATCCTTACTGATTTTCTGAATAATTGTTCTATTATTGCAATGTATAATGTGTATTTTCCTCTGGCTGTTTTTAAGGTTTTTATATTAGCCTCCTACAGTTTGATTATGATGTAGTACCAGGATATGCATTTCTTTGTTGTTTTCTTCCTTCTCAGGGTTTGTTTAGCATCTTGAAGCTGTCTAAATATCAACCTATTTAAGATATTTGGAATATTTTCAGCCATAATTTATTCAAACATTTTTTATTCACTCCTCTCTTTCTTTCTTTCTGGGACATCAATTACATACATGTCAAATGACCTAATATTGTCCTTAAGGTCCTGATTTTCTCTTCAGTTTTCCTTTTTTAAAGGGAAAGCAGGTTTATTTAGATGCTTTTCATTTTTTAAAAACTGTCTATTTTCTCTCTAAGTTTCTGCTGCTGTCTTCAACTTTACTGATGTTTTCTTCTGCAGTAACTAATATGCTGTTAATCCTCTAATCCTTGAGTTTTTCATTTCAGGGATTATATTTTTCTCATCTCTAGTTCTTTGTGGTTCTTACAATATTTTCCATTTTTCTCCTCCTTATATTTATCTTTTCTTTTGTTCTGTAAATGAATAGGAATAGCTGAAGTTTTTACCAACTAATACTGTATTCTCTATCATTTATAGGTTTGTTTTTATTGTTTTTTTAATTAGGAGTTTCATATTTATAATTCTTTGTATGTTTAGTAATTTTTGTTAGACTTTGAGCACTGTAAATTTTCTAATGTTGAATTCTGGATTTTGTTGTTTTTCTTAAAAACTGTTGGGCTTTGGTCCTGGCAGGAGTAAATTACTTGAACATTTTGATGTTTCCATGGCTTGTTTTTAAGCTTTTTAAGGGAGCTTTAGTAAAGTGATGTTTAGCATACAGGTGCAGGCTTATTTCAGCCTATTATTTCTCTGCGGTCTCTTTCATATATCCCTGTTTCAATACATATTCTCTGTTCTAGAGGTATGTGGTCAGAATTTAGATGTGTCTGAGCCTTGTGCAAGCTGAGAGAATTGTTCCGAGTACAGTAACCCCCTTCCAGTTCCTGGTTTTATTGGTTTTTTTTTTTTAGGAATTTTGAACTTTTCATTATTGTTACTCCTCATAGTATTTAGTGTGGTAAAATGAAAATTTGGTCTCTGTAAGATGTAATTACTGATGCCTACCAATAGAAGAGAAATATAAATGACATTAGAATATATGGACTGTCATATTAGAGGTATAGAAAAGTAGTTATTCAGTTTTTCAGTAAATTTTAAATGTTTGACAAAATTGTAGTCTATATAAAGTACCAAATCAAGGAGAATTTCCAAGTGAGAATCACTTGATTCTTGAAATTATTTCCTTTTGCTTCCATGTAATTACAAAAACTACATTGGTCCTTTTCTGTCCTTTTTTTCCCATGATCTTTCATCTCTCTTTCCAGGGACTCTTTTTTTCACTGTCTTTGCTATTATGCTTAGAAATTCCAGCCATTTTCATAGCTTTAATATTTATCTTTATACAGATTATATCAGTGTATTTATTATGTATGCATATGGAATAGTATATATGCATATAGAATAGTATATAAAAACAGTATGACAGACTGCTCAAACCTGTCTTCTGAGATACAGCCCTGAATTTTCAAATTCTGGTTGATGGGCAGTTCTCTTTGTATGGCCCATTACCTTAAGTAAAATATACCTAAAACCTGAAAGTTATATACTATCCCCAAAGTATTTCCTCTACATCTCTTTTTCTCTGAGTAGCTCTCAACGCTTCTTTCGAGTCATCCTTTCCTGAAATCTTAGTAATTTTTTACTCCTCCTTCTCCTATAATTAAAATGTGGAGGTCCATTAATTTGACCTTTTCAAGGTTTCTCATGTCTTTTTTCTCATTCAGATTTCTACTATAACATTCAGTTATTTATTCATTAAATACTTGTTTAAATTCTACATGTGCTAGCATTTCTGCCCCCCAGCAAGTAGGAATTATGTGGTTTCCATAATATAATATAGAAATGATAGGTCCCATTAAATACTTGTGAAATAACTCGCTAAATGAAAATATTGGGCTGAACCATAAGAAATTATTGTTTTTCTAGGGTCAAAATGGTCAAATGTCAGCAATTTTGTATACTCAGCAAAAATACTCCTGATATGAAGGAGAAAAATATGTATTAAGTTACTCCTTAAATACTGTTAACAGTATGTTAACAGTAATATTAATATGCATACAGTAATATTAATGTGTATAATTAATGTTAACACTAATATTAATGTGTAAAATTTTCTTTCTTCAAACTATGTAACTTGATTTTTCTCTTATTTGTTTACCAGGAAACACGGAATTACCCAGAATCATATCCACAACTGCCAAGGGATGAAACAGTGGAGAACCCTCATCTCCAGAAGCACATTTTGGAATTAGCATCCATTCTGGATGTGCGAAACGTGTTCCTTGAGAATACCATAGACGACTATTAAAGCAAAAATCCTCTTACTGAAACACATTTTCATTTGCCACAAATTTTAAATGGTGCAGTTTTCTAATGTGATGACAGATACATAGTGGTGTTATTTAGTTTTTATTTTTCAATTTAGGACCACCATTTTAAAAACAAACTGAAAAAAAAATTGTTCAGACTTTTAGGGTAACTTTTAAAATACAATCTTTCAGGTGTTTTATTAAAACCTCGATTAATCTTGGAATTTTTATTTTTTGGTTTTGAGGTATGAGTACTTACCTCTAACATCTAATCCTACACTCAAATAGTTACTATTCTCACCCTGAGAAGAGTAAATCATTTATTTTTGTATAATGAGGAAAATCCAACTCTTATACTTGGACCTTAAATGTGTGGATTTAGAAAATATATAATTGTTCACAGAGGTGAAACTAGCCAGCATGGACTACTCAAAATCAAGATCATAGCCCTTCCATAATATTTCTTTTCATTCCAAGTTAGTATCGATAGAAAAATGTGTGATTCTTTGAAGCATAATCAAGTTACAGTTCTTGAAAGTGTTTAATTCGTTTAAATGCTGTCAAAATTTCAGAAACTGTAAAGCATTGATTTGTATCTGAAAAGCTAAATCTTTAATTGGGATCTTTAGATGATGAATAACATTTGGAATGTGTGAGTCCTGTGCTATCATGAGATATATTTGCATACTTTGTTTTCTTTGTAGTTTTTGAATGCTGGAAGTGAAAAGGTGAAAAAGAGCAGCTTTTAAATCTTTCCGTCAAAAAATCAGATTGTTGGTTTCATGATCCAGTGTTTCCATAGGAATTCCATTTAAACTCTTATTAATGAGATCAAGTTTGAAGGCTATATAGATTGAAGTTTGTGGCATACACTACAGAGTTGGTCATCTTTTTGCCTGGTTCAGATCGATGAAACTTCAAAGTCAGAGATGTTATTAATATTAGTTGAGGGTAACTGAATTTATTGTTTAACCTAAAATGGAAGTTGCTTTTGCATTGACAATTTGAAAGTGAGGTTTTTAGAAACTCCTTGTATTCACTATTTTCTATTTCATGCACAAGTTTTTTTTTTCATTATTTTATATAGGACTCAGTGTATAATATTTATAAAGATTTTTGAGTTGTTTTCTTCCTTTTTATCCCTTTCATAAAATTCACAGGCACTAGCTATGATTTCTTACCCCTCTTTTGACTCCACAACTTTCAGATTGAGAAATCTATGAATCAAAAGCCCTTCTACCTAATTTTCCATACAGGCTCACAGTCTACCTCTGGCAGTCCCAGGGGAAATGAGGTGTTTGCTGTTGGTGCCTCTTTCCTATGTTCCTAGGGAAATTTTACTGTAATATTTTAAACTTGATTTTTATTTCTGACATAGAGAATTATTTGGATCTAAGTTATGCATATACCTGTTCCAATTTGTTGATTTTTCATCTGAAGTCTTAAAGCTATTGTTCTTGGGTTGGGCGGACTTTGTGGGTTTTTTAATTAACTTTTTAAAAGTCATTTTTGTTTGTTATTTTAAACATTATTTCAGAAGTCTTTGGAAAAGCCCCAAAGAGAGATTTTCTTTGCAAGTGGGTTTTCATTGTCAGATAAAGACTACTTTCCTTTTTTTTCCCCCCAGTACCTTATTAAACTTCATAGCTTTCTTTTCATAACTGCTCACCTGGACTACAGCATTTGATTATCCTTAGTTATCTGACCTCTTGTTTCAGTTCCCCTGAAGTTCTGTGCCAGTAATGTTCCTAACAACATATATTGTCCTATTCTCTGATGATTAATATAATATTTATCACCCTGAGCTTTATCCTCACCTGATTAACATAAAGAACAGTGGTTTGAGAACTGGGAGATCTGAGTTCTAATCCTGGCTTTCCTGGTAACTAGCTGCTTGTCCTTTGACAAATGTCTCCATGTCTCTGCTTTTTAGCACTCTTGCCTGTAAAATGAAGGCCTTGCCCAAGATTCAATCCAGTTCTCTGTTTTCTATAATTTGAATTCTTGGTTCTGAAAAACTGATTTTCCCACCCCTGCTGCTTGGAAAGTTGGTTTCCCTTATTTTGATGTACATAGTATTTCCTTTCCTAGATCATTTTCACCCAGTTTTTGTTCAAGAAAATATCTGGGTCTCACTTATTTGTTGTAGAAAGTAGTTCAGAGACTTTCCGGAAAAAATTAGAGGTTTTGTTAGTAGAAACACGTTTGTCTAAGAACAAGGGATCTTAGAAATCACAGTCAGTGTTTAGATGATGACATTCCTCCTTAAGCTAATAGTAGTGTAATTCCTTACCAGTGGTTAAAATTTTAAAGTGAACTGATCTCAAGAGCAAAGCTATACTAGAAAATTCTAAACTATTGTTTCATTCATGTGTATTGAGCAACAACTGTTCTCCAGATTTTATCGTAGGCATTAGTCTGACAGACCAAATAGACTTAAAACATCCTTGTCTTCACGGAACTTATATTCTAATAGAAGAAATCAGGCAATAAATATAATACATAATTTATGTTAGAAAGTTTTAAACGGTATGAAGAAAATTTAAGAGTGTGCTAAGGAAAATTTTTCCTTTGTTTTTAGAGAGAATAAAGTTTCAAAGACGGATCAGGGTAGGCCTTCTTGGAAAGGTTACATTTGTGCAAACATGTCATATTCCTTTGTCTTGTCTTTTTTTTTTTACTTTTTATTATGAAAATTTGAAACATGCACAGTGTTTATTTTTTTTTTGATCTTTTTTTTTGTACTCATATCAAAAAGGGTTGTTTTTCTTTCTTTTTTTTTTTAAATCAGTTGGAGGCTAATTACTTTACAATATTGTAGTGGTTTTTGTCATACATTGACATGAATCAGCCCATGCACAGTATTTAATGAATGCTCTTGGACCCATTACCCAGCCTCTACATTTTAAGGCCTTTCTTTAATTGAGGAAGAGGAAATGAAAAGGACAGTCACTTAATGGTAAGGTCAAGAGGGCAGTGGCAGAGAAGAATCTCTTTTTTTTTTCAACATGTCTTGCCCCCCTTATGAATATTAAAATGGGAAATCCTTTATTTAATTTTAGAATTCATAGAAATTTAAATTTTGGAACGAAAAACAAAGCAAAACAATGGGGAAGAGCACTTCTTTTGCTTTCAAATCGCACAAACTACCCCCCTGGAGATTATGATACAGACTCTCACCTCACTTAAGAATCACTATAAACAAAATAGTGTAAAAGTGCAAGAAGTAAGTTATATACAAACAAAATGAAAATTAAATACAAAACAAAATTAAGCACAATGAAATTGTTTTCTTTCTTTATCCATATGTTTCTGAAGTTGGTAAAGCAACTGTCTTCTCCGTTTTACAGAAAAGAAAACTGAGACCCTCAAAAGCTGTCGGTTTTTTCCATAAAGATGGAGCCAGAACTAAAACTCAGATCTCCTATTCTCAGCCCAGTCTTTCCCGGTAGCTCAGGTTACTTTCTATGACAAACAAGAAAGAAATAGAGATTTAGATTTTGGCAGAGAAGTTATGGTATTTTTTTAATATATCAAATATTGAAACGAGTAAATCAGTCAGCCCTAGCAAAATTTTATTTACTAATTATTTTTTAAAAATCCACAAGTCAGACATTTTATCTTTGATTTTAGCCAGGATATATTCTTTGTGTATGTGTATGTGTGTGTGTTCTTCCTAGGAAGTGGTGCTCTCAAAAACCTCTCAAAGCACATAGAATTTATTGTTCTCTTTATATTTTTACCAAGTTGAAATGTTTTGAGATTGTAAAAGGAAAGTGCAATCTAGTCATGACTGAAATTTTCCTAGCAAAGGATCTGAGTTTTATTTTTTCCCTCACTGTGGCTACTATGCTTTGTTTTCTTCTTGCAGTAGAATTCCCTGTAAGACATTAGGTGGTTATTGAACTGAAGTTCTTTGCGGTAAAGGGAAAAGCAACAAATCTGATTTATATATCAATTATAGAAGCTTTTGTTGGTGTTCTTTTCCCAGTTTAATCTCTGACCTGTGAGAGTTAGTAACTTTCTGTGTCTTAGAAGGGTTTTGGACTCAGTTGAAAAATGTTATACTTAGTTATCCACAGAGACTTGTAATCAGTCTGATAGAGAACATTGTACACAGGAAATATAGTAAGGTACCAAGGTCTGCAAACTTGGCTACTGCCTGTGATTCAGAACCACCTCCCCACCCTAAGTGAGTAAATAGATTTGATATGAATATGAATGTTACGAATCTCCTGGTGATACTTTGGGTGTTTATGTTCCTGTTATGTGTGTTTGGAGAGTATTAAGGATATTTACATTGAGGGCTCTTTTGTTGTTCTTATTTATTTGAAATTCTTATTTGCAATGGCATGTATATATTTTGGTGATGCTGAATGCAATCTCTGTGTATACTTTTTGTATATATGTACATAGCTGTAAATATATGGTATGCAATGATACAGTATGTGTATATTATATACCCATACCCATTGTGGGCTGAATTTATTTAAGTTCTGTGAGGACATCATAGTGGCATTGTTCATGCTGCTGTATTAGGTTGTGGCTGTATCTCAATCATGAGCCTCTATTTTGAGGGGCTTGTGTTTGGGTAAAATGGGCTATTTTGGAGTTGAAATTAGGATATGAAGATCTTAACAGAAAGCTGGATATTCTTAGCTTTAAAAATCATCTGCCAGTTTCCATTTAAACTGATGATAAATTAGTGATATAAACCTGAAAAACCTAAGTATGTGAAACTGAGACACCAGCAGGTTCTTAAGCTATATTAGTCCTTTATTTTCTTGACTATAGTTGGGTATTATTACTTAGTAGCATATGTATTTATATTGAGAATCAAGGGGCAATGGAAAAAATTACTTTGATCACATTTCAAAATAAATAGGAAAATGTCCTAATAGGCAAATGTTCCTAATTGCCATTTTAATACCTGATACCACAGTTTAATTTTGGAAGAATTTTTTTTTTTTCACTAGTGTGTCTCATTTTATATGTCTCTATGAGGCAGAATAGGGGACATTAGGGAGAAGGCTTTACTTAGGTGGGGTTGAATTTAATGAGGAACAGGAGGTTGATAAACCTGTATATTTGCAGCAGCTGTGATTAATTAAGTTCTGTCTTGGCATTTCTAGCTATAGATTTTTCTTAATTGGAATTGCATATCAAAGATGAGTCCACTCATCTGCAAGAATGCTTCCAGTGAATAAAATGCCTCCAGTTGTATTTCTTTGTCTCTATGAGACCACTGTGTTCTGCAAATTGATAGATTCACACGTGAAGCAGGATTCTTAACAGTAGGTGTGTGGCGTGCTATATATAAAAGCAGGGCCTTCAAACCTCTCCCAAGAATGACAGATAGGGGAGGATAAGAGGATAGTTCGTATGTGCAGTGCCAATGCGTGAACCTATGGGATATATCACAGAGATCAGGGCTTGGTTCCTCCTGTCTTCACTGGGCATGTTCATCTGCATAGAAGAGTGTAGGAGATATTTTAATATACACTTGAATATATTCACCACAAAAATTAAGTGGGTTTTTTTTTGCATGATAAAGTATAACTGCGAAAAACTGTTTACCCTATTGTTCTTCAGAAGATTAAATCCATCTGATCCAACTTGAAATTATCTTACTTAAGTCAGGAATCAATTCTGCCATCCCCCAATATGTTACATTTGCCTCTTCACTGTAGTTGTAATATAACAGCCAAGTATTCATAATA